TCTCCCCATTAAACAGGTCCATACGATCCTGGTTCCTTTTCCATTCTGGGGACCATCCATCCGGTTTGGTAAGTACAAGTGCAAAACAAAATGGGATAGTCTATTTGCCCATTTCCCCCAATCTTTCCTCTTCTCTGGGAAAAGATGCGGAGCCCAGGGCCGTGCATGCAACGCGTTTTACCTGGGTGCCGGTATTGCCCGCCAGATACAGAGCGAGCACTGCCGCGTTGTAGAAAAATAGGTTGGGAAAAGTACTGGTGGTTTAGGGAAGGTCAGGGTCATAGAGAATGATCACTTCGCATTGTTTCACCCACAATCGGATATCCAGGATTTAGACCTCCATCCAGTCGAATGGTCCTGAAACATCAAAGTGTGTCAGGGGCAGTAAGCAGTATATACTATATATAGTATTCTGGAATATACAACGATCCTAGGATACAATGCAAGGAAAAGACCGACATCCCGGTACCAAATAATGGCACAGCAACGGAAGGACCACTACAACATTAATCCAGCCAGAACGTCTTCCGTCCCTTGGCAATCACTCTGTGCTACCAAAACCCCACAATTCTGAAATCTTCAGTGGCTAATCTATTATTTAGCAGTCCCTGTCAACGACTGGCATAAAACACGGAGAAGCGCGCAAAACCGTAGCCTGCTAAAAGAGCTCTGTGCGAGCTGACCGGGGGGTCAGATTGAGGATATCTTTCATTGCTTTTCTCATTGTGGCAGTCCAATAAACAAGCTTCTTTGTGAACAGTGCTAATTGGTATTACAACAATGATGAAAGGCGACTTCGGACTTTACTATCACAGCAAAAAGTACACCTTCCGTCGCCGGGATAAACACACCGGCGCTCGAACCTTCTGTCCTTGCTGCTCAGCTCGAGAGGAGAATAACTCCTCATTTCAATCACTATATAGTATATACTACTCAGCTACGCCTAGTAATTCTGAAAAAAGATTACCGTTCGTACTCAACCGCGTGGGCAGCGCCGCCACAGGCCTGGTACCACCAAAAATCACTACAAAAGAAGAAAAAAGAAAAAGTTCAAAAATGCGCCGTAAAAAACACAATCTTAGAACTTGGATAAAATCCAAGGGGAGCCCGTAGAGGGGAAACCTCTACTGGCACCCCTAATTCACCAAAGTACGTGGTTCACAGGGCTCAGATGTCGGTACAAGTACCCTGGGAAGTACCGAGTTTCTCAACATCAATTTTTCCGTGGTAGGCTCCGTGCCAGAGTTGATAGTCATGCTCTCAGGGCTAATTGGTAAAGTAGCTCCTAGAAATACGGTTTTATATCTAACAGGTTTCATTCGAAGTCCACATATGCAACATAATTAGAAAAGTGAAAGGGTTCACAAATCTCAGCACCCTGTTTCAGTCCCAAGTTCCGAATCCCAGGTCCCAGTCCTGAGTCCCCGGACCTAGTCCCATTCTGTGTTCCATTAGTGGTTCCAGCCACTTGTACAATGTTCACGAACACTCCAGAAGAGTAGTTTTCGTCTGTACCATGATTATGGATGCCTAAGCAGGTTAGTTAAGTAGATCGTGGTGGGAAGTCCCTGCTAGATAATAGTTATGGGTTAAAGAGTCTATTTTAGAAGGTACCACGAGCCTCAGCCAAGATCACAAAGGTCATTTGGCCAGGTGTCAGTCAGCCTGACCGAGTAGCCAGGTCCAAGGACAATTGGTAAATTTCCAGAAGCAGCAAACAAGGAGAAGGGGAGCCAACCCACAGCCGGCAGAAGCTGCCTGGACGGCAAACCAGCAAATATAAAAATTCAGAGCACCTGGACACCAACACAGTGTGTTCGGCACTCAATGCGGAAGCGCTGCTGGGGTCTTGTGCGTTCGAGAGGTGACTCAATGAGAGTGAGCGTAGGGCAGTGTAGTCAACGGCACTGGGCGCCATCGCCATAGCTATAGTGTGAGAGAGAGGAAGAAATTGTTAGAGACGAGGAGAACTGTGAGGTGAGAGCAAGAGCCAAGAAGAGAGAGAGAGAGAGAGAGAGAGAGAGAGAGAGAGAGAGAGAGAGAGAGAGAGAGAGAGGGAGGGAGGGAGGGAGGGAGGGAGGGAGGGAGACTTACCTGCATGCTGAGTTGAGCGGCCATAGCCAATGGTGACAAAGAAGACGATCAAGTTTGTGTTGATTTGAGACTCTTTTGGGACGTCATGTGTCTGCTTGAATGCCGTGTGATGTGAAGTCGTGTCTGAGTGTCTCATGCATGGTGGTCTCATTTCAAAAGCTATATATTATGCGTGATTTGGAGAAAGTGATGTAAAGAAACAATAGATAAGAGGAAAATGGCAAGCATAGGGGCCCTTTCAACAAAGGTGGAAACAGAAATCGAAGTATTGTGTAAGTGGCCTATGGCTCAGTGGTTAGGGCACCGGTTGTCAATGTGCAATGTGGTCTGAGGTTGCGGGTTCAAAACTCCGCGCCTCTGCGCAGAGACCCCGGCGGGCGTTTACATAACGCACGGTCACTTGCATACCCCCTTGAGCTGACGCAGGTAGGCTATTACAGACACTGGCTGTGCACCACCCAAGGGATCGTCCATGGTGTTGTATGTTCGACCTAGACTATGATTGGTTTGCTTTCACACTTGTCCATGGGTTTGTCTGGATGCTTGCACTCTTGTCTCTTACTCGAGCTCAGCGTAGCGCACGTTCAGACCATTCGAGACTGTAGCTCGGTAGGTTAACACTAGTTACTGATAAGCATGAGGTTCGGGGTCCGAGGTTTGATACCAAAAAAAAAAAGAGTCCACGAATAAACATTGTGGAGATGCAGACTAGTGTTGTGGGTGTTTGATCACGTGGTATTGGTTACCTTAGGGCTCATCTTTGGGGGGCATGGGTTTTAGGTGGGATTTGATCAGGGACTCCACTGGGAGGAGGGTTGGTTGGACATTACCCCTAGTGGAGGGTTGGGGCCCCTGCAGTAGTGGATGTCTTAGGGGTCCTCTGGGTTGACGTAGAGCTGGGATAGGCCCTGGTGGAGGATCTCGTCGGGGAACCTGCATTAGAGGCTGTCTTAGGGGGTGAAGGCTGGTCTGTTACCTGCATGGAGAATACTGTCGGATTAGAATACCCCAGAGTAGCTCCCGTTGATGGTAGAGGTTGTGGGAGCGGATGGTGGCCGTAAGCCTACTGAGTACAGAAACTGGAGATGCCCTAGGTTTGAATAACCTCCGCAAGAATTCAAAGAATAGCTAAAGGGCTCTGATGATGATAAGCCTAGGATCTCTCTTAAGAACAGGAAAAAAAACTAGGGTTCGCCTATGGGACTTGTAGTGACATGCTTACCCCTAGCGCTCAAAGTGCCCAGTATGACGTGACTCGTTCGGTAGTGCTTCACTCAGGGCTGGGGAGGGCGATGAGAACCTGCTTAGCCCTGATGCCTGTAACCGCTGTCCGGTCAAAGATCACTAGAAGGGTGATGATTCTGGGTATACTCAAATAGGACCTTGGGAGTAGGGATGCGCCGGAGGTCGTGATGATGAGTAAGGGTGGGGGTGTCTCATAGGGAACCAGTTAGGCAATACATTGGGATGATCAAATGGTCAGGTGCTGACAGGCCTGCCATATGCCTAGTAGCCAGCCTGTACAACAACCTGGACTTCAAAACAAAGAAAAATAAAATCAAAGTCTTGTCGACTAAGAAACACAAATGAAACGGGATCCTGAAAAAATATTAGTTTTCACTTTTTGGAAAACCACATGTTACAATCCCCAGTCACCCAGTCTAAGCAACTGGGTTCATAGCTGTGAGGAACAGCAAGAGATAAGCATGTGCACGACATAGGCTATGGGCTTAAATAGCAGGGTCAATGATGGGAGCACCATTTCTTTGGACTCAGAGGAGGATTAATGGACAAAGCATAGGATCATACTACCTGTTCCCCACTGCATAAGTGCAGTGGCTCTTGTGTTTATAAAAGATGGCACACAACAACGTTTAGGGAACTGAGAGGCGCAACATTGCAGCAAGACAGTAATAGAACACTGCCGTCTCTCTCTCTCTCTCTCTCTCTCTCTCTCTCTCTCTCTCTCTCTCTCTCTCTCTCTCTCTCTCT